AGCCCCGTCCGCCGCCCGCTGCCCACCGCCCACCGTCCGACCCCGCAGGCCAGTGGCCGCCCGCGCCCGCGCCAGCCCGCGCCCACTCCTCACCTGCGACGCGCCCCGGCTCCCAGCTCACCGCCCGGACCGGCTGTGTACACCGGAAGTGACGTATGCGCCCGGCCCCGCCCCCGCCCCAGGCAGACGCGGTGGCCACTGCAGATCCCCTGCGGGAGCCGACCCTCCCCTTGCGCGGTCTAGGCGCGGGTACAGCTCCACGTTCCCTCTACCCCCCGTGACCGAGGGCCTTCCGCGCGGGTCGTGGTCGGGCTTCCGGATCCCGCAGGCACCCTGATGCTGCAGCGAGGCTTGGCCTGCGGAGCCCTGGCTCGCGTCCTCACTGATGCATTACTGAAATTGATGACTGGAATCTTGGTCGCTGAATACCAGTACCTGACAGGCGGTGTAGATGCTGGATAGTAAATACTTCATGGGTTCATTCGCTAGTGGTGGAAACAGAATACAACTGTCACAAATCCGCGTGATAATAGAGTGCTATTTATGGCAAGTGGTAGGAGGGGAAAGGGGAAAAGGGAGGGAGTACCTTGACCCAGTGGAGGAGGACCAAGGGATTCTCCCAGGAAAAGATCTGGAGCTGAGAGCCTAAAAGAGAGGAGGGATTTAAAAACAAACAAAAATCTGGGAAAGGAAGAGGACAGGACCTTACAGCACACAGCAAAACAAACAGGTGAAAGTGACTGTGGTTCAAGGGTAGAGCCCCCCCCCCCCGTCTGACTTGCCTGAGGCACCATGTTAAATCCCCAGCATTTGCGGGGAGTGCTTTGGAGATTAAGAAGAGAAACGTGTTTTCAACTGCTTTGTCTTAACCCACCAGAGAAGTTGGGATTTGCCCTTGCTGCGAGCACTGCGAACCCCAGTTTTCAGCAAGGGATGACTTGACCACATTTGGGGGGCTAAAGAGATTGCTGTGGTGGCGCTATAGAGGACTGGGAGTTGGGGGCAGGAGGAATGCATGTGTGGGGCCAACGTTCAGTTCAGATTTTGATGCAGTTCTTGAAAACCACAAGGACAACCCCCCTCTTTTGAGACAGTCTTCCCAGCTGACATGAAACTATGTAGACCAAGCAGGCCTTGATCTCACCTGCCTCTGCCTCCCAAGTGCTCCACTTAGCCACAAGACCTTTCACAGCCCAGTTGTGTCTGACCCAAGGACCTATGGTACACTCTCCATCCCCAAAGATCAACTTGGAATAGTGGCTCCAGACTTTGTTGTCTTCCATCAATGAAAGTCATAGACACTTGGCAGGAGTGGGGCAAAGGCAACTCTGTTAATGAGAATTATAGAAAGGCAAGAAATTAAGGAAAGATAAAGGAAACTCCCAAGATACAAAGATTTAGTGTGGAAGGAAAGTAAAGCTGTCAGCTCCTGTCAGCACCAAGGCAAGCCGGTTCTGGGACTTTATATGGGGTTATGGCTGAAGACTGAGGTCATTAGTGGGCCCATGCTGTGCATGCTCTCCTGGTCCAACCAGAAAGAAAGGATCACACCCTGTTCACCTGTTGCCCACCCAGTGAGGGATAATTGAACACCCCCCTCCCTTTTGTCCATCTCTGATCTGGCTTTGTTATTGACCTTATTTATCTGCTTGCTGTTAGTCTCTGACTGGTGTTGCTACCGCAGACTTTGCAGGTGTCTCAGTGCTGTCAACCACAACAAGCTCTTTCTCCTCAGGACAGCCTGGGGTCTCTTTCCTGAAACTGGTGGAGGTTTTCTTAGAAACTGTTCTGATTAGCTACGTTAGAAGCAAGACTATGCAAAAGAGAAACAGTGCCTGGCATGTTTCCCCAGGCAGGGAGTTCTCACGGAATCAAGCCTGCTGACTCTGCCTCCCTTCTCAGAGCCTGTCTCTTATCAGATCCACTTGGCTACCTCATATCCAGCTTCAAGTTTCTCTCTCATCCCTAGTGTTCCTGGCCTCACCATTTGAGCCCTAATATTCCTTTTGGCCCTAAGTTTGTTTTCATTATAACATAAGTGAGCCGCTTGTATTGGTCCCTTTTCCCATACCACCTACAGCAAGCTAGCTTCTGTATCAGTCTGTATACCTGTGTTCATGGTAGGGTTATCCATAATAGTAAAAACAGTTAAAAGGCTGAAGCAATTCAATGTCCACCCATGGGCAAGTGTATAAACAAAATGTGGCACATTATAGAATATCATTCAGCCTTAAAATGGAAGGAAGGAGCCGGGCAGGGTGGCGCCTGTCTTTAATCCCAGCACTCGGGAGGCAGAGGCAGGCGGATCTTTGTGAGTTAGAGGCCAGCCTGGTCTCATAGTGCGTTCCAGGACAGGAGGGGGCTACAGGGAGACCCTATCTCAAAAAGACAAAAAAAAAAAAAAAAAAAAAAAAAAAAAAAAAAGGAAGGAAATTGTGGCTGGAGAGATGGCTCAGCAGTTGAGAGCACTGGCTGCTCTTGCAAAGGACAGAGGTTTAGTTGACACAGGTTTAGTTCCCAGCACCCACATGGTGGCTGACAACCAACCATCTGTAAATCCAGTTTCAAGGGATCTAATGCCCTCTTCTGGCCTCTATGGGCTTTGCATGTACTGTGCACATACATGCATGCAGGCAAAACACTCATACACACAAAATTCAAATAAATAAATCTTTTTTAAAAGGAAGGAAATTGAGCAGGGCGTGGTGGTGCATGCCTTTAATCCCAGCACTCGGGAGGCAGAGGCAGGCCAGTCTTTGTGAGTTCGAGGCCAGCCTGGTCTACATAGTGAGTTCCAGGACAGCTGGGGCTACAGGGAGATCCTGTCTCAAAAAAAGACAAAAAATAAGAGCACTGGTTGCTCTTGCAGAGGACCTTGGTTTGATTCCCAGCACCCACATGGAGGCTAACAATAGTATGTGTATGCAGTGTCCACGAAGGCCAGAAGAAGGTGTCAGATCCCTGGAACTAGAGTTACAGATGGAGGGTGCTGGAAACTAAACTCCAGACCTCTGGATAAGCAGCCAGTACTCTTTAATCACTGAATCATCTCTCCAGCCCATTGGCAAATTTTATGTTGTATATTTTGCCACCTCTTTTATAGCCAGTTCCTCTAAATTGAAACAACTTGGAGGGAGAATAGAGACTCTTGAACCTCAGGAAACTAATGAAATTTACAAGGCCCAGGAAGCTCAGAAAAATTACAAGATTCACTGGCCCCTCACGAGGTGACATAAGCAATGAACAAAGGTGAAAGAGAGGAGACCCCTCTGCGGGCAAGTTGGGCAGGGAGCTCCAAGGATGCAGCTTTTGTGAGTCATCAGTCCTGGGGAGGGTTTTCCGTCGATACAGCTGCCCTTGACTGACCCATGTTATGTTACTGTCAGTGACCCCAATAAAATATATTCTGGTGGAATCACTTCTTTTGTCTGTCACCAGTACTCTACCTAGGATGAATAGATGTTGGTATAGAAAAAGGTGTGCACCACCACACCCAGCTATTCAGTGCTGGGGATCGAACCTGGGGTTTCATGAACAATACTGGAGCACACCACCAACTGAAGTACATTCCCAATCCACCAAAAAGGATTTTTTTAAAAATTTTATTATTGACTGGGCGTGGAGGCGCATGCCTTTAATCCCAGCACTCAGGAGGCAGAGACAGGCAGATCCTCTGTGAGTTCAAGGCCAGCCTGGTCTACACAGTGAGTTCCAGGCAGCTGGAGCTACAGGGAGACCCTGTCTCAAAAAGACCAAAA